GAGGAGAGGATAGACACCATGCCATGTGAATCATTGGCTTTGTCTGATTTGATGGTCTTTGGAGATAGCCTCATTGAAATTCTAATAAATGAGCATGGTTTAACTTGTATAATACTTAAAATAATACATTCCTTTGCTCTGTTCTGCTATTGAAAATTTGTTTGTTTTCATTAAATTTACAATTTTAAAAATAATGCTGTATATGTTATTCAGTAGTGTGTTTCCTTGGATTACTGTCAGTGGTTTTATGGATGTCTTTTCTTTTTCATTTTAGATTACAGTAAATTGGATCAGTATACTAAGAAGTACTGAGTATGTGTTTCTCTTACAAATACTTGGAATAGCTAACTATTTTAACTAACCTTTACCAATATCTGATAGGGAATAAACCCTTAAAATACTGTATTATAAGTAAAATTTTGTAGAATTTGATTTTTGTTTTTCTTATTATTCAAAAGATTAAATGTTCATAATTTTTGTTTATTAGTTAATTTTTTAAAAAATTTTCATTGTGATTTAGGTGAAACTTTACAGAGCAAATTCATTTTCCATATAGCAGTTCATGCACACTTTGTCTCATGATATTGATTGCAATTTCCCACAATGTAACAGTTCTCTTCCCACTTGCTTCCTGTAGTCAACTCTTCCCTGTGCATATACTGCACTTTTGTTCTCCCATGATTGATTGCTCCAAGGGGCATAGCTATGTGAGGTAAATGTTCACCTAATATGCCTATCTATTGTTTGACTGGAAGCCACAGGAGTGAATTCAATTTCAGACCTCAAGGGTAGCTAGGTGCCATCTTCTTAGGGGTTTCACAAAGCTCTTATCAGACCAGCCAACTTGGTCTTTTATTTATGATGTTGAGTTTTGTTCCACGTTGTTCTCACACCCTATCCAGGAACTCATACACTGATCCGTTTCTGTGTGGTTGACAGTGGTAGCTGCATACCGTCTGGTTCTTCTGGTCTCATGATCATAAAGGCTGAGGTCTACTATACCCTCCGACTAATTGTTTCCATGTGTCTTTAGTTTTCTTCATTCTTGGTTCTGGATGAGGGGAGACCTGTCGTTGCATCTAGATGGCCACTTGCAAGCTTTTAAGATCCCTGTCTCTACTTACCAAAATAGGACATAGACCAGTGTTTTAGTGGATTATGTTTTGCTAGTTGAGCTTGATGTCCCCTGCATCTGTGGCCCTGTGCCCACAAGTCCAACTAATAACTCCCTCTGGGTAGGTGGCTGTAGCCAAGAAATCACCACAACCTTGTACCTTGTCAGCTTTACTGTGTACCTGGACATTCTTACAGCACATACAAATACACTTGTAGAAACATCTTCTGCCAACCCTATACATGGTCATGGGCACACTACTACCTGCATTGACATACCTGATTGTTCAGCCTGTTCACCCATCTGTCCACCCTGGATCAATATTTGCCATCACTGACAACACGGTACTATATATGCAAAAGGGTTTATCTTTGTTGTTTGTACCTCCCATGTACCGCTCTATGTCTTCCTCTTCCTCAATGACACTGTGTTGATGACTCACATTTAGTATATTGTGCTTCCCTTCACCCAAATCAATACTTATCTCTCCTTATCTAGCAGTGTTCCCCCCCCACTAATAAACAAAGAAAGTTTAATTCCATATATAAACCTTTCCTTGGCTTTTTACAATAATAAACTAATAAAATATTTGCTGTTTTGTGATTGACTTACTTCACTCTAATTGGAGTTAGTTTGAACATCTATATATAATATTTGGTTAATGTATAAATAAATATTCTAACTTGAATTTTGCAGATTTTTATGATACCTGTTTATTTCTGTTACACTAGTTAGCCTCTGAAAGCACATCAATGACTGTGACAGAATTGGGCATAATACAATTATACAATTTTTTTTTCTTCACCATCATACTTAGTATTATTAAAATTATTATCTAAATATGGATACTAAAATCATCAGGTGAAATATTAACGTGGAACAGAATATCTGCAAGATAGCTTACCTATTGGTTGTCTGCTAATTGTAAAAGGGAACATTTATTTTTGTAGCATAAAGTTTGAGTGTTATCATCATTTGATCAAATTTGGTGTCAGTAACAGAGGACTCTCAGACATTATGTGCCCCTAGTGTGATGTAATATGAAAGTATACTGCATTACTTAAAATGTTTTAACTGGATTGTAATCAGACCGTTAGACTTAAGGTCCAGTTTACAGAAAATACGGTAATTAGAAGAACAACTTACACCACAAGGAAATGATCAATTCTAGATTATAGAACATTATGTGAGGCACCTGATCTAGTTTCTTAAAAAAAGTTATAGAAAAATAAAAGTGATAATATGGGAAGTGAGGGGAAATTATTCTAGAATGAACATACTAAAGGAATAAAACAATAATGCTGCTATCTCTGTACATTTTTTAGGTCCTAGTTAAAAAGAAAACTGTGGAAGACATTTTGCAGGCAGTGGTGGAAATTTGAATAGAGATTGAGTATTAGAGGATACAAGAACATTGTTTATTTTTCTTTGGATACTTGTATTGACATTATTGGAGAATTTTTCATTTTCAAGAGATGCTGAAGTACTTAGGAGTGAAGTATTATGATGTTTGTAACTTACTTTGATTTTTTTTTTTTTTTAAATAAACTCATTTGTAATAAATAATATCTAATTTGTCCACCAGGAATTTATTTGGATGTTGAGGCAGATGGCACAGTGTACTCACCAGTGAATATGAATAAGGCTGTTAAGAAGTCACAGCAAACTAAGAATTCCTGGGAAAGTAAGAGGTCATCAGGGAGGGAGATCGGCTTCTTATAGTAATTAAGAGGTGGTTTTAGTTATCTAGGACTGCTATAACAGAACTGGGAGCTCTGGTGGCATAGTGCCTAAGACACTTGACTGCTAACCAGAAGCCTGGCGGTTCAAACCCACCAGCCACTCCTGGGAAGGAAGGTTGGGCAATCTACTTCCATAGTGATACCACCTTGGAAACCCAAGGAGGGGTTGCTATGAGTCAGATCCAACTTGATGACAGTAAGTTTTTTTTTTGTTTGTTTTGTTTTTGTTTTTGGATTTATAACAGAATTAACACAGGTGGATGGCTTCAATGAACACACATTTCTTTTTTCACAGTTTGGGAGGCTAAAAGTCTGAATTCAAGGTACTGACTGTAGGGGAAGGCTGTCTTTCTCTCTTCCACTCTGCGGGAAGGTCCTTGTCTTTTTTCAACTTCTGTTCCTAAATTCATTGGTGAGCATATGGTGTGTATTCCCTCACTGTCATCCACTTTGGGCTTCCTTGCTTAATCTGCTCATTTATATCTCAAAAGAGATGGATTTAAGACATACCCTACACTTGTCTGTCTATCACTCATCTCCTTGTTGTACTGTGGTGGCTTGCATATTGCTGTGAGGCTGAATGTTATGCCAGTAGTTCTTGAAATACTAGCAGGGTCACTCATGGTGGGCAGGTTTCAGCAGAGCCTCCAAACTAAGACAGAGTGGGAAGAAGGATGGGGCTAGCCACTTCTGGAAAAATTGGCCAGTGAAAACCTTAGGATTAGCAATGAAACACTGTCTGATGTATTACTAGAAAACTTAATGAATAGTCTTGAAATATCATCTGATACAGTTCTGGAAGATGAGGTGCTCAGGTTGGAAGGCACTCAAAATATGACTGGAGAAGAGCTGCTGCCTCAAAGTAGAGTTGGCCTTAATGACATTGGTGGGGGTCAGGCTTTTGGGACCTTCATTTGCTGATGGGCCATGACTCAAAATGGGAAGAAACAGCTGCAAACATGCATTCATAATTGGAATGTGGAATATAGAAAGTATGAATTTAGGAAAATTGGAAGTTGTCAAAAATGAAATGGGATGCATGAAGGTCAATATCATAGGCATTAGTGAGCTGAAATGGACAGGTATTGGCCATTTTGAATCAGACAATCATATGTTGTACTATGCCAGGAGTGATACATTGAAGAGGAATGGCATCACTTTCATTGTCACAAAGAATGTTTCAAGATCTGTCCTGTAGTACAAGGCTGTACAAGTGATAATATAATATCCATATGCCTGTAAAAAAGACTGGTTAATACTGCTGTTATTCAAATTTATGTACCAACCACTAAAGCCAAAGAAGACGAAATTGAAGTGTTTTACCAACTTCTGCAATCTGAAAATGACCGAAACTACAATCAAAATGTATTGATTGTTATGGAATGTGAAAGTTGGAAACACAAAAGAAGCATTGGTCGTTTGAAAATACGGTGTTGGTGGTAGATATGACACAGGAGATTGCATTTTAGACTTTTGCAAGACCAACAAGAAATGCCCGATAGGGTTTCCAAGGCTGTAAATCTTTTCAGAAGCGGACTGCCTCTTCTTTCTCCTACAGAGATGTGGGTGGGTTCAAACTGATGACCTTTTAGTTAGCAGCTGAGTCTTTAACCACTGTGCCACTAGAGCTCTTTACCATAGGCATTTGGATTAGGAGGATTTACAGCACACATTTTTTGGGGATACAGTTCAACCCATAATGGGTGAAGGTGGAATAATCTTTTCTATGCTATTTATGGATAGCTATAAAGTCCTTGGGTGGTACATAGGGTTAAGTGCTCAACTACTAACTGAAAGGTTGACAGCTTGAACCTGTCGAAGGGCACCTCAGAAGAAAGGTCTGGCATTCTACTTCAGAAAGATCACAGCCTTGAAAACCCCCGAGTGCAGTTTTACCCTGTAACACATGGTATTGCCTTGAGTCAGAATTGACAAACTAGTTTGGTTTTGGTTTTTATAGACAGATAACAGCAAATGTAGTAAAATGTTGAATCTAGATGATGGGTCTATAGATATTCATTATACTATTTCAATTGTTATGTATGTTTGAAATTCTCCAAAATGGAAAGTTGAAAAAGTGATATTACCATGTTTATATGTCAAATTAAGAAAGTTTTAGAAATAAGTAATTATTTCTATTTTAGCAACCAAAGGACACAATGAGATTAGATGAAACGATGCTGGTCAAACAGTTGCTACCGGAAATCTGCCATTTTCTTCACACCTGTCGAGAAGGAAACCAACATGCAGCTGAACTTCGGAATTCAGCCTCTGGGGTGTTATTTTCTCTCAGCTGCAACAACTTCAATGCTGTCTTTAGTCGCATTTCTACCAGGTTAGTGTATAAATCCTCATAGGATTGTTGTGTTGTTGTTGTTGTGTGCTGTTGAGTCGGACCCGACTGTAGCGACCCCTCCTTGGGTTTCCAAGGCAGTATCACTACGGAAGTAGATTGCCCCATCTTCCTTCCGAGGAGTGGCTAGTGGGCTTGAACCACCAGGATTGTTGTAGTAGTGTAATAGAAAACACTACCATTGAATTCTTTTCTTTTGTTTACATAAAAGTAAAAAATGAGTTTTATATGGGCTTTCATAGACATTTTATGCATTAATTTCTTTGACATGTTTATTATGTCATTTGTTACAATGTGTGCAGTAAAATATGAGTATACTGTTACAAACTTTAAGGTCTAAATTTTAGAAAAAAGTATACCCATGACTAGTACATTTGTAATTCAAACTTTCGAGGGTTTTGTATACTTTTGTTTTTTAAGTACTAAGCTTTTGATGTGGCTTTTTAAGGTATTATTCCTTTAAATGAAAGTAGCCAACCAGGTGGAATAACTGGTAAGAGTAGTTCATGGTGGCATAGTGCCTAAGGTACTTGACTGCTAACCAGAAGCCTGGCGGTTCAAACCCACCAGCCACTCCTTGGAAGGAAGATGGGGCAATCTGCTTCCATAGTGATACTGCCTTGGAAACCCAAGGAGGGGTCGCTATGAGTCGGGTCTGACTCGACGGCACATAACAACAGTTAGAATTTGAATGCTCTCACAGTTGTGGTCTTTATCACCATATCTGAGTACCGGAAACAACTTTAGCTGTATTAGCTGTAGGGAGCACTAGGGAGGGGGTAATTACAAAGCAGAATTCTCCGGAAAGTGGGCTGTGTTTTAAATACATGAACATTAAAAACCCTATGAGTTTCCAAGTTTTACAGAGCATTTATGTCATGTGCTATACTTTGTGTAACCTCTCAGAAACGCTCAAAGGTGGGTGATACTTCCCCTTTTTCATAGGTAAGCAAATTGATGTTCAAGGAGATTATTAAGATAGTGTACTAAGTAATGGTGGACCCAAAATTTCAGCCTATAAGCCAGGCTATGAGGCTGACTCCAAGTCTATTTCATTATACTAGTGAGTTTCCTTATACTTCTGTGTTAGCCATATTTTGATGAAATTATATATATACACATACACACACATATACTTCTGTCCTTTATAAGTGTAAACTACACATGGAAAAATTGTTATAGATGGTGCTCTATGAGACAAAATCAGAACCAAGATTAATGAGTCTGGAATCTGGTTTTTAATGCAAATAATTTGCCTTTCTCATGCAATAACAGTCAGTGGGTCCTTAATTTTGACCAAGTGGGAAGTAACATGGAGTAATTTTCTGTCAAATCACTTAGTGAATCAAAGGATAGTATAGAATAGAGAAAAACAATTTTCTTTGTTTGCTATTTGTGCCTGCATTTCTTGACTTGTATGCATTGTGTGAGTGGTGGCTTTCCATTAGTCACATTTACTCATTCTTCTGTTGTTTTTCCCAAGAGATAGGAATGAGAGTATATATCATAATTTGAGAATTTGTGCTGTGTTGTTTTGGGGAGTTGGCTAACTTCAAAATCTTGCACTCTTTTTAATAAAAAATGACATTTCTATAACCATGACGCTAAGCAACAATATTCTTTAAGCTCTCAACAGAATTACTGGTGTAGAGAAAACTTAAATTTTATTTAATGGTATAACATGATTGATAGTTTGGCTAATTTTTGTGATCTAACAATGTTTTCATGAAATCTGTTCAAGTAATAATATTTTGTATTCTGAGTAATAATAATACCCTGGCTGAATGAGTATGGTAATAAAAGTTAACAAATAGGGGCTGGAAAATTATTTAAAATTAAAACTTTAAACCCTCTTCCATTAAGGTAGCCCTAAATCAGCCTTACTATTTCTTTTTTTTTTTTTTTCCTTTTGTGACTGATATATTTCACTCAGCATAATGTCCTCCAAGTTCATCCACGTTATGCGGTGTTTTGCAGATTCTAGGCAGCATAATGATGGGTTTTGTTTTGTTTTCTTTTTTTTTTTTTATTAGG